GCAATTCTCCTGCCTCAGCCTCCCAAGTAGCTGAGATTATAGGCACCTACCACCATGCACGGCTATTTTTGTATTTTTAGTAGAAATGGGGTTTGTCCATGTTGGCCAGGCTGGGATTACAGGTGTGAGCCACCATGCCCAGCCTAGTGAACAGTTTTCTATATGACAAGTACTGGGTCACATAGTAGCTTTTTTTTTTGAGACGGAGGCTTGCTATACTGCCCAGGCTGAAGTGCAGTGGCGTGATCTTGGCTCACTGCAACCTCTGCCTCCCAGATTCAAGTGATTCTCCTGCCTCAGCCTCCCAAGTAGCTGGGATTTATAAGCCCATGCCACAACGCCCGGCTAATTTTTGTATCCTTTCAGAGATGGGGTTTTTCCATGTTGGACAGGTTGGTCTTGAACTCCTGACCTCAAGTGATCCTCCTGCCTCAGCCTGCCAAAGTGCTGGGATTACAGGTGTGAGCCATCACACCCAACCCACATAGTAGCTTTTTGTGGAGAAGGACTGAAAGAAAAATGAAAAATATATTTTCCTTACCCCCTTCAAGAAAAAATGACAAGTATCATCAAAAGGCAAACTCGTTTACTGGTTCAGCACACAATCGTCATGATCATTAATCCTCTGACTTGGGCCTAGTAGGCTGAAAGGTTGATTCAGGTACAATTAAGTTTTCTGGTTAAAGTCATCATTGGGTTCAAACGATCTATCACCCATTCTGGAAGGCAGCACCAGCAGAGAAGCTATAAATACACTTCAAAACTGAGCCTTAGTGCTGGTTGTACCTTAACCACACCCTCTACAGCCAAGATAAATTACCGGTTGAGCAAAAATACAGACCAAATGCCTCTCGGAGATGGACTGAAGCAACTCCAAAGAAAGCTGTAAAAAAGTGACAGGAATTTGTTCTTCTACTTGGAGAGTGTTCAATTCAAACATGAGTCCAAGGTATGTATCCTTAAGAGGAGATGCTCTGCTGTTGTCTCATTTGCCAGAATATCCTTCAGTTCCAGGCTTTCAACAGGGTGTGATTGGTTCATGCTCCATGATAGGAAAGGAATTAAAGTTTGAAGGCAGAATGAATGGCCACAATGCCTGATGTTAGACTTTCATAAGTGACCTTGTGAAAGCCTGCATCTTCTATCATCTCCTTGAACTCTTCCTAAAACAAAAGGAAAGATACAGCCAGGGTAGCCTGGATTTCAACTGTAGGGCCTTTGTTTTAAGCTAGAGAAGTTTCATACCTGAGACGGGAACCTTCGGATACTCTCTACAAGGTATTGATAGGACTTCCAGTCTCCAGCAATGACCTCTCCCAGGACAGGGATGACCTGGAAGCTATATAGATCATAAAGCCTAAGCAAACAAAAAGGTCAAAAATTAAGATTAAGATTAGAACATTCCCCTCATTTCTTCCAGAGATAAGAAGAAGGAAGGACTAAACCTGGGGTCACAAACTCAAATGCCTATAGGGATAAAGAAGAACCTGAATTAAGTGGGCCAAGGTACGAGACCAGTAGGAGTAGTGACAGGTACAGTTAGGAAGTACTATAAAGTGGAGAAGGGACAGTTACTACTCAGCCCTTTCTATGGCATGTGGGGATATGGGCCTACCCAGGGCTGCCATGTATCTAATTTCTCAAGTGAAGCTGGAAATCCAGATTTTTACGTAAAATTTAAATTTGTTTTTGTTTGTTTGTTTGTAGAGATACGGTCTCACTGTGTTGCACAGGCTGGTCTTGAACTCCTGGGCTCAAGCGATCCTCCCCCCTCAGCCTCCCAAAGTACTGGGATTACAAGCATGAGCCACTGCACTTGGCCCAAATTTCCTGATTTTCTTTTTAAGCCAGTGGAATTTAGCAGTGGGGGGTTGAGTAGCAATGTGAGTGCCAGTAAAGTTCTGATAACCCACTACCATTGGACCAGCCATTTCCTGATTTTTAAATATGGGCCTTTAAGTCAATTTCTTAAAATATATATGTAAGCCAACTTGGATCTAGTTTGAGACCCTTCTGGCCTAGGTATTGTCATTCAGAACTGGCTGATCTCTGGTACTCTGAACCACAAAGTTCATGCTTATAGCTTACTGGCTATTTTCAATCCATTTCGGGGTAGGAAACCTGGGCTACCCGATGAAGATAAAGTCCTGTTAACAATGCCAACCTGGATATGAGGGGATTGTTCACTTGGCTAAATTCCAGACACAGAAACCGTCCTCCTGGCTTCAGCACCCGATGGGCTTCCTGGAGTGCCTGCGCAAGACAAGGAACAACAGACACACTCCTCAGTAGACTCACTCAGTTCCATGAGGCCAAAACAGCTTTAGCTTCTGTAGGCATTACACGAGGTATCATGGCCCACCCACCTCGTTTGTTCTCACTTGGGAAACTGTAACAGCAGCAATAACCCCACATATCCCAAATACTACAGGCATTCTGCTGCCCGTGACTATACAAAGCTAACTGGGGTCATCTACACTGACTACAGATTGGTACAACTCCATGAAAGGCAAGTTTAGAGTTACCTATCAAAATTGCAAGGGATGGAGAAGAAAAAAAACGAAAAAAGTAGAGGAAAAAAAAATTGCAATGGATATCCTCTCTGATAAAGCAATTTTACTTCAAGGAAACTATCTTACAGAAATGTTTCTACTGTGGAAATGATATGTATGTGGGTTATTCACTTTTATTTTATTTTTTTTGAGATGGAGTCTTCCTCTGTCACCCAGAGTAGCATGCAGTGCCATGATCTTGGCTCACTGTAACCTCTGCCTCCCAGGTTCAAGTGATTCACCTGCTTCAGGTTCCCAAGTTACTGAACTACAGATGCCTGCCACGAGGCCCAGCTAATTTTTTTTTTT